CTCCCATCAACTCGTATGCCTCTCTCGTCCCAGTCCAGTGACTTCATCACCCACTGCAAGGCCGCGGTGAACAGCTTCGGCGAGATTGTGTCGCCTTGTCGGACCCCCTTCCCGATTGGTATGGTCAGGGGGCGATGGAATAGCTGCATCGTCGTTGTACAGTCCTTGTAGCAGTCGGCTAACGTCCTCACGTAAGCTGGGTCCACTCCTTGATCGACTAGCGCAGACAGGATGGCGTTGGTTTCGACGCTGTCGAAGGCTTTCTCGTAGTCGACAAAGGTCAGGACGAGAGGCAGTCGGTACTCCCGGCAGACTTCTATGACCCTCGAAACGGTCTGGATGTGGTCCATGCAGCTGAATCCTTTGCGAAATCCAGCTTGTTCTTGGGGTTGGGCTTCATCCAGTGTCCTTGATATGCGAGAGAGGATAATCTTCGTGAAAAGCTTGTACAGCACACTCAGCAAGCATATTGGACGATAGTTCCGAAGATCCTCCCGTTCACCCTTCTTGAAGAGAAGGACGGTTCTTGACGTTCTCCACTGGTCGGGAATCTTCTCCTTCTGAAGGTAAGATGTCAAATGCGACGCTAGAATCTCGTGTAGACGGTGTCCTCCGGCTCGCAGAAGTTCGACGGAAAGATGATCTGGTCCTGGAGCCGTGGACGTCTTCATGGTCTGTATCGCGATACGCACTTCAGCAGGTAGAATTCGTGGTGGTACTTCTCCAGTGGGAACAACGGGCATCTGCACGGGTGTTGATGAGCGGAAGAGGTTGGTGTAGAAGTTCTTCGCGATAGATTCCATCTTGTATCGGGAAGAAGTCGGAGTCCCGTCTTCGTTCAGTAGTGCAGCCAGCGGTACGTGATATTCGCAGAGGTCCCTTCGGCACTTCTTGAGACTTCGTCTTCTTTCTGCTGCTTCCAGTATCTTGGCTTGCCTGTACTTCCTGAGATCCTCTTGCAAAGCTGTTCTGCAACTGGTGTTGGCAATCAGTCGCTCGAGATGAGTTGCATTCGGATCCTGCCTCAATGATCTTCTTCTTTCGAGCAATTCCTTGGTGGTCTTCGAGATGCGGTCCAAGTTCTTCTCAGAAGTCACTGAGGCGCATTCTCCGCAGGCTCGCAATCCTTTCAGAAGCCGGTCGTAGTCGTACGTTGGGTCCTCCTCGATGGGCCAGTCACAACTTGATATGAGCTCTTCCAGCCTGTTACCGTCATAAACGACTTCCTTCCTTCTCGCGGCACTATGACAGACTTTCTTTTCCAGCCTTCGGCTGAGTCGTATCTTCGCTCGAAGGAGGCGGTGATCGGAGCCACTACAGAAGGATGGAACTACAGAGACATCGAGTAAGCTCCACCTTCGGTAGGTGAGAATGTGGTCGATCTCCGCGTGGGTCGCTCCGTTGGGCGATTCCCATGTCCACCGGCGATGTTCCTTCTTCATGAAGATGGAATTTCCATGGAAAAGTCGTGCGGCGGAGAGAAGCCCAAGACGGTTGCCGTTTTCGTTCCGGAGCCCATATCCAAACTTCCCGATCCTGTATTCCCTTTCCAGTGGCATCCCGATTTTCGCGTTGAAGTCGCCCACAACAAACTTGTAAAAGGACTTCTCGTTGCGGACGACCTCCTCCACATCTTCGTAGAAAGCATCTAGTTCTGATTCGTCAGCTGCTGATGTTGGAGAATAGGAGTTGATGATGCTGATGGTCTTCTGATGTGGAGGTCGTAGTCGTAGGATGCCTAGTCGAGGTGGTAGGATCTCGTGCGAATCGACAAGATGGACGATAGATGGGTGGACGACAAAGCCGACGCCTCCCACGTTTCGTGATGGAACCTTTTCACCACGAATGATGAGGGTCCCATCACTCATTTGTCGCACGTCCTTCTTCCTGGACTTCGTTTCCTGCAGAGCAATGATGTGGTAGTTGATGTGCTCTGCAGCGTCGAGAAGAGCGTGGAGGTCGGCGTTTGTGGAGACTGTCCTGGCGTTGTAAGTGCAGAGCATGAGGCAGTCTCCATGGCGTGTCGTCCGGGCAGACGTGTCGTTTTTGTCCAATCCGAAAGGCGCCCTGAGTACTCTGACATCGTTCTTGCTACCACCCGGCGCCGTAGGCGGGATCCGATGTACAGGGTTTTTTCTAAATCTTCTTGCTGTCTGAGTAATAAAATTTGTTCCCCTACAAGAGGTGGCTTACTAGGCCTACTCTTGATTTCCACGGGGTGATCGCTGACCCCGGGCTTGGAGCGGGGAGGGACCGCCTAGCGACCAGAAGAAGCCAGACGGCGGAGAATCTGGCGCGGCCAGTTCTTAGCTAGGCATCCGGCCGAAACCGGAAACGTCGAACTCCTTCACAGCTTGGGAGGCCCTACCAGAGTATACACTCGGCTGTGCATCGCAGTTCGACACCCAGTGTCACCCCCACGCCACGATGAGGCGACCGACCATTGTGGGGGTCCTTAGCTAGGCAAATGGAAAAACTGCGAAAATTTTGGGTTACGATAACATGCCTAATCTGCGCTACTACGTAAATTGCAATGTAAGGCGACAAGAATGAGTACATACGATAGCCTCACTCTCGTAATTTACATTAAGGTGTTTGAGCCTGATTAGTCGTCTCTAGCCTGAGATATTGAAAGCGGAAAATGGATGAAATGAGATTTTGGCTTGCTCGTAATTCTATGGTTTGGATGTTATTCAATGTAGTATTCCCAACGTGAGCAGAAAAAGTAGCTGTTTGTATTGAGTGCAGAAAGATGTAGTTAACTCACCCTTGAAACGAAGAAAATATATTTTAAAATGACTGTCTCACTTGGATGGCACAATATTTGGAAACCTCAGGCCATAAACTTGGCCCACAGGGATTAACTGACAATCTATTTACAAAAATGATACTCTCATGCTTATAGCGCTTTTTTATTACGCTTACGCTACGTATACGATGGTAGGCCATAACATCGATATGTTAGTGCTTTACACAGCCTATCTGACATTGTTAATAATATCATGTTATTGCTAACATCAGCTCACCTCGATAACGACCCCCCCCCCTCCCCGACCCCACAATACGACCTCCCAGATGTGACCTGCCACACCCACACTTTACCCTGCAGATGATTGATGGGACCCTCATCGTTCGTGGTGAAAAGGTTCCATCATAAAACGTTGGAAGCGTTGGCTTTGTCGTCCACCCATCTATAGTCCATCTTGTTCATTCGCATGAGATCCTGTCACCTCGACTAGACATCCTATGACTACGACCTCCGCGTCAGAAGAGCATCAGCATCATCAACTGTTACCCACCAACATCAGCAGCAGATTCAGAATTAGTGCTTTCTACGAAGATCTAAAGCAGGTCATCCGCAACGAGAAGTCCTTCTACAAGTTCGTTGTGGGCGGCTTTAACGCGAAGATGATGCACTAGATGAGAAATATAAAATCGGAAAGTTTGGATACGGGCTCCGGAACGAAAATGGCAACCTCGTTGGGCTTTTCTCCGCCGCACGACTTTTCCAAGGAAATTCCATTTTTATGAAGCAAGAACATCGGCGGTGGACTTGGGAATCGCTCAACGGAACGACACATGCTGAGATAGACCACATTCTCACCAAGCGAAGGTGGAGCTTACTCGATGTCTCTGTGATTCCATCCTTCTGCAGTGGCTCCGATCACCTCCTTCGAGCGAAGATACGACTCAGTCGAAAGCTGGAAAAGAAAGTCTGTCACAGTGCCGCGAGAAGGAAGGAAGTCTTTATGACGGTAACAGGCCGGAAGAGCTCATAACAAGTTGTGACTGGCCCATTGAGGAGGACCCAAGGTACGACTACCGGCTTCTGAAAGGATTGCAAGCTTGCGGAGAGTGCGCCTCAGTGACTTCCTTCTAAGCAGAATTTGTAACGTGTTTCGAAGACCACCAAGAATTGCTAGAACGAAGTCGATTTCTGAGGCCTGATCCGAATGCAACCCATCTCGAGCGACTGGTAGTCAGCGCCAGTTGCAGAAAAGCTTTTCAGGAGAATCTTAGGAAGTACAGGCAAGCCAAGACACTGGAAGTGGCCGAAGGAAGAAGTGCGCGATAGAGCACAGCGGAAAAGTGGATATGATCCATAGAATGGAAATCGCTGTCATTTATATGAGTGTTTTTGCGCCTAATGCAAATGCTTAGCGGTTCCCAATCATACGAACACTTCAAACCAAGGTCCATTTGTTATTCGAGAATGCAATCTTTCTAATCCAAATTTTTTGTAGAGATACAGTAACAAAGTCTGACATATCCGCTACATAGTGGACTCAGAGCAGTTCAAAAGAGAAGCTATGTTCTTTTCAAATGGCTCTGAATGCATTTGGAGTCATTGCGCTCCAAAAACATTTGTTATAAGTGGTTCATGCACTCTATTTAGCTTCCATCAAGGCTATGAGATAAAATAAGCTTTTTGATAGATGTTTTGTTTGACGCTTGGAAGAATGTACTAGTTAGCAAACCTGGCTTCGCCCGGCCTTTTCAATAGTATATTCGTAAGCAGCATGCTCACTTACTCCCCTGTCACGAATTTCAGCCCTGTAGCTTGAAGTTTGCAAAAAATCGATAAAATAGATACCAGCCGATATCGAAGAGTAGCCTACGACACCCGTGCCGCCCCGAAGTGTAGTGTGGTCCGGGTCGGTTTAGAAATGGATTTTTCTAATCGCGACATACATACAAACAGACATTCCTTTATATATTAACTAGTTGACTTACCCGGCTCTGCCGGCCCTGACATTATATATTCGTAATCAGCATGCTCGATTACCCCCCCCCCCCCTGTGCCAACTCCCAGCCCTGTAGCTGAATTTTGCAAAAAATCGATAAAATCGATATCGATCGATGACGAAAAGTAGCCTATGACAACCGCCGCGGCCCGAAGTGTATGTGTGCCAAGTTTGGTCCGGATCGGTTCAGAAATGGAATTTTCGATTCGGAACATACGTACACACATACAGACATACAGACATACAGACAGACAAACAGACATTCAGCTTTATATAAGATGATTTCATCTCAAGTACACAATAGTAATGCTGCACCTTTAATGAAAAAATTGGGAAGAGTTGAACTTTCCTTCCTTAGGTGGAACGACTCATGAAAAGATTGTGTGGTTACGAAAGAGGATTATGATCTAGGAGCCTCGCACAGTCCAAGAGCGCGGTCACAGGACGTTCCAGCCGGACACATGGTGCACGTAGTTCCGGGTATGTAAATCCTTTCTTCGACTTTGTTTCCACTAAGAAGGTATAGCGTGGAACAACCAAATATTGCATCATTATAAAAATACTCACGGTGGGCTATAGAGGCATACGGCATGCCATTGATCACCACATTCTTGAACCGTGCAACCCATTTTGTTTGTGGTAGCCCAAGCCATCTAAATCCCGTTGCTTTTATTAAGAGTGCTCAGTTTTAGAATCAATGCATTCTCACCCTAGTGAACGTTCTCAGTTGCATACTTTCATGTTTGACTCTGAAATAACATTGCAGCCCAATAGGCTCATCTAGTCTCACCCGTTTAAACCACTCCTTTATACTCTGCAAAATGTACCACGTGAAATTGAAAGAATACCATGGGGCTACCGACCGCGGCCATGGCATCAACTCTAGGCTCTTCGGCAGATGCAACATCTGATTTCGGAATGTAATATCTGTTCTCCTGATAATCCGCAGTGTTTGCCTCATTTTCCACAGGTTGGCACGCCTCAGCACGGTCGCGCGCTTTGAGTTCAAGATCGCAGTCATATCTCTGGAAAGTGGTTAGTGTAATGGAAGAGTTGAAACTTCGTGTTACTTTTCACTAACTAATTTCTGCATATTTGCAGCTGTAGGCATGTAGACACCGTTCCTCTTCACCACTTGTCCCTGGGCAAGTACTGATCTGAACAATGTAATTTTCAAGCAGATTGTAGATGTTGGTATGGCATGATTTAGCATCCTTTCGCTACATTTCGATCCTGACCAGCAACATCGAATGCCATCATTTATAGCAGTTTTTTTCGTTAGCTGAACTAACCTACGCCAGTTAGTTAGATCAAGAGCCTTCTTTCTGATCTTGTCGTTCGTACGTTTATTACCTGGGCACATCTGGTTGTCTGAAAAACGCTTTCAGTACAGGAATATATGCATCACATTTTGCGAAGCACTCAGGAGGTCCTTTCAAAAACAAAGAAAAGAAATATCACAATTGCTCCAAAAAAATTTGACAAACTACTCACTGTTTTTACTAACTCTAAGGAAAACTATAAAGAAACTTACTCGCTGGAGGTACAGGAGCTTCGGTTTCTTTTTGTCCGGTAGTTGTAGTTTCACCAGCGCCAGCACCTGTTGTTGTACCTCCAGCTGCCGTGGTTTCACCTGTTGTTCCTGCTCCCGTAGTCTCTGCGCCTGTGCCTGTCCGGCCTGTTGTCGCTCCTTCGGCAGCAGTAGTGCTGTCTCCTCCTGCGGCGGTAGAACCTCCTGCACCGGTTGTCTCCCCTCCTGCGGCGGTGGTTTCCCCTGCTGCAGCGGTAGTTTCCCCTCCTGCAGCTGCGGTGGTTTCTCCTCCTCCTGCACCGGTAGTCTCCTCTCCTGAACCGTCTGCAGTGGTTTCCGCTGCTGCACTGGTAGTTTCTTCGCCTCTTTCAGTAGCTGAAGATTCTTCTGCTCCCGATTGGGTGCTTGAGTCCCCTGAATCCTCTCCTGCATCACTAGCCGTAGAAGCATCTCCTCCACTTGGATCATCAGTTGAGTCTTGAGATCTTACTCCTTTGAAGATCTAAATGCTTGCATAATGGTTGTTGAAAAAGAAAAAGGCCAACTTCAAGTGCTTACGAGTAGAGTGATCAGAATAATTGCTAGATAACGCATTTTTAATGAGAGCTGTGCTGATGATAGCCATTCTTCATCGCTTATATATACTGTACGTACGTGTAACTGAGTGCTTTATGTGCGCCCATTACTGGCACCACAGAATAAGTGAGAGTTTTTTGAGGCTGATGCATTTGTATCGTGTCTCTTTTTTATTATACTATTTAAACTACCCTAATTTCACGCGTACAAGGCGCGGGGGATTTTTTTTCCAAAATCGACCAGCCCAAACACGCCAAAGAACTTCGCAACCAAAGGACCCTATGCCTTGCTGTATATTGCTTGAGAGAATCGTACGCCATAAGGATCGTTTTCCGAAATAACTTAAAGCGGCTGAGGGGCTTAGTCGAAAAATCGAAAAAGGTGCGCCTTGTACGCGTGAAATTAGGGTAAATCTCAGTGGTTGATACAAGTTTTTTTGTCAATCCCTTTCTCGCATGGTTATGTCGTAATCATTCGTAATTTAGTGACGTTAGCGATCATCTATCAGGATGCCGATGGATTTTTGTGAATCCACTTTACTTCTTTGAATTCAGTAAACTATCAGAGTTCAAATAGCTTTATCTGCTATGATCTCTACGATCTATACATAAAATGTTCTGCTTGCGAACACAATGTTAATCTGAATTTGGAGTTTTTGAAAGAATAGAATAATGAAAGTGAATTTTGGAAGGATTAACTAAATCTCTAAATCGTCCTCTAATCGGTTGCTATTTATATATCTCCAATGCTTTCATTAGAGGAAATTTAACAATGAGAGAAAGTGATTTAGAGAGAGATTTAGTGAAATTTAACAATTTAACAATATTTTTCTGGGATTTTCCTCCACAAAGTACACTATGAAAAGTGAGTGTAGCCTAGATATTGTTTCCTTATATCACTACTACAGTTCAAGAACTGCTAAAGTTCAAGAATCCTTCAAATTTCACATATTACGATAATGAACGTTGCTCTGGTCATAAAATCTAATATATTTCATGGTTGACAGTCACTAATGCTGCTTTTTTGATGTCATAGTTTGGATTCGCAGCAGTAGAGCTGATGCCTGTTACACACAAAGCTTATCAATTGCAGTGTCGGGTGCGCCATCTCCGCTCTCGCGCGGAACACTGCACTTCTTCCGCAAACATGTCTGCACTTCAACCGCGAACATTCTCTCTAATCATTTGTGATCGACTGAAGCTCCGCCTTTCCCACGCTCGCGGGTGGAAAGTTATCCGAGAGCATGTTCGCGGAAAAGGTGCAGAGTTCAGGCGAGGCGGCCGCGCGGAAGCGGAGAGCTGGTGCGCTCGATAATGCACTTGATAAGCCCCTGCACATGCTGAAATAGAAATGACATTGAGAATTGGAGCCTATAATGTGCGGAAGGATGCTACACTCCAGCTTAAGCGAATACTTCATTTTCGAACGTAGAGGGGAACCTAAGTGAGGTGCACTTCCTGCTTTGCATGCAAAAACTCAGAATGGAACGTACCGCTACAGTCCACTCTCACTCATACAAACGATTTTATAAGCCCTTCCTTTCCTCGATCTACGTAAACAAATCGACAAATCGATAGAAGGACCCAGTGAATCATCACGACAGGAAGCCTATGTTCCGCGCCGTGGCTTGCTTATATGGGGGCAAAACTCAGCTCAGTCGGTCCACTCAGAAAGTTTTATATAAAACACAAGCATCCTTAGCAACCTACAGACAAACTTTGAGTTTTATATATGTATAGATAAATAACTATGAAACTTCCTATAGTAATGAAGAGAGATGGGTGTTTTGTTTCATACTGTAAATCTAATTTATGAAGCTAGCTATACAAAATGGTGCCCAAAGCTTCTCGAAAGACCTCATATAAGAGAGTTATCGACATTCAAACCGTAGGCACATTTTTTGGGACACCCTGTATAGAGTCCCCTACCCTCTTTCCAGGAATGATATCCACGAAAGTCCATAATGGAGGAAAATGGACTTTCAAACCCCATTTTATTCGTTCGCGGTGAAGAGTGGTCGGAATCTGCTTTCGCTCGCGTTATCCAAAAATTTTCATCCCATCGCAACCACGAGGCAAAGCGGTGAAATGAGAATGATTCAACCTTATCTGAGCTCTCGCTTGCGAAAGATGACGTCAAAGGTCCATTTAGAATGGGGGAAAATGGGATTTACCTCCATTTTAAATGGACTTGAAAGCCCATTTTACTCCCAGCAGCAAGATGAGCTGGGACTAAGCCCATTTTTGACCTTTTTGCATATTTCTTATGGCGATTTTTTGTAATGTGTTCATCAGCCTATTTTGAGGTAACAAGTGAGTGGAAAAAGTTTCATGTCTTTTATGAAGTCTGAAACAAGTGTTTCTTTCTAAACTCATACAAACGCCATAAAAAAAATGGAATTAGACTGAATTCACCAAAAGATTCGCTGACAAACCCATATGCCTCCAAATATCAAGTCGATTCGAAAATTCCTATGCAAATCAAATAAAGTTTGTATACTCTTCAACTCATCAACCAAAACTAAATTCATGATTTGTACTCAAAATAAAAAGATTTGCCTTTCAATATAATTACTCAGAAACTATTTTTTAATTGACCTCGCAGAGAACACCAAAGATGGCATTTCAAGCGCGATTTTGATTTTGGTCGCAAGAATTACTGACATGGCGCTAGCTAGCAAGATAATTTCTGTGAAAAATCTACTACTAACAATAGTCCATGCATCATTCAACTACTTAGACCTATGAACATTATGCTGAGAGACAAAGCAGGGTTAAAGTAGAAAATTTGCGAAGTCATCTCTTGCAGATTCGTAGTTTTTCCGACATAAAAAACTTTGGGTTGTGTGTAGTGCAAGGTTTCCTAAGAGATAAGCATTTTGATTCACAGATTGCAGTGCAAGTCTAGCCAAAGTTTGCTTTCTGCAGAAAGCTCTATATATGAATTTGATTTGATGCAGATTCGTAAAAGTTTTGAGAAGCGAAGGTCCGGATATCGCATGAATTTTCGATTTGGAAGTAATTTAGACGCATAGCCATCGATAATAAATGGCATTTTGTGAGTTTTAACGAAGTGGGAAAAAATATAATATCCACTTGACTAACATTGTAATGTTAGGTCAGCCTAGTCAGATATCGACCACTTGATGGAAATGAGTTTGCAAGAGTGAGTGAACAGGTTAAGAGAAGTTGGAGAAAGGTTTGGTGAGAAAATTTTGTATGGAATGAATGGATTCGCGATTGCGATATCTTATCGCCGCATGGACTAAGTCCATTTTATTCGCACGGAAAGCCCATTTCGCGAGGACTTTCGTGGATATCATTCCAGGTCTCAGAAGACGTCATGCAGCCAAAACATTGCGCAATGATGAAGTGTGTCAGTAACCAATCAAACCTGTAAGCCACGAAAGAATTGTTTAACTTATGTAGATTAAGTTGAATGCTTTGGATGTTCGGAATACAAGTTGACATCATTATGTTATATTCGTTTGTAATGAGAATCTTTGAATAGGGAGATCTTTGGATCGGTCAAATATGTAGGTGTTAGCTGTTAAGTCATTTATAAAACTGTGTCGATAGATTTGACTGCGGTTTTTATGCCCACAGGAGCATAAAACACTTATACAAAGAGGCCTCACCTCGAGGCACAACTCAGGGTCTTCCGTTGTGTGAATACTATCATATATGAGCAGAATAATCATCCAACTAACGATGAAAACCAAGAAAATGTGGTTGTCGAAAGACGCGTACTGCTGCGTGCGGTCGCGCCATCGTCACGATTTTTCAAATGCCCTATATCATGAACGTTTCCCTACATTTGAATGATTGCTTCCTTTTGAATGTGAAGATCTTTTGAAGTGTGATGTTTCTGAAAGTGTTACAGTCTTACTATAATATATAAAATCTTGCTGTTAATCTTTTGTTAGCTTTTCATTAATGATATCAAGATAGTTACATCTACATCTAGTGAATTGATTGTGAGTTTATTTGAAGTACATGATCGTGAAAATCCCTAGCTAAATTATCTACAGTATTTTTCCCATTTTATGTATAAGTAATGAATCCATCATTTTCTCCCATTTTCTGATGATCCTAGTTTGCTTAATTTCGACACCCTTATGCCATCCAAGTCGGAACCTAAACACCCAGGCAATGCATCCAAAATGCATTGACGCATCCGGAATGCAACGCTGGGATGTTACCAGTCTAAACACCCACTCACTCACGGACTGCATTCACATTCACTCCACAGTGGTAGCTTAACTGTATTAACTCTCATAGTTCATCGATACATATAACTGCATTAAGTCTAGGTCATTTCATTTGAAGCCCAAAATATTCTACCAAGTGTTACATCTTAGAATTTTTTTTAAACAAAAACAGGATGTGAAGGTCCATAAACTCTATTTGCAAGCCCAGATGCTGTGAAGCTTTTCATTGAGCATTTAATCAATTTACTTTACTATAATTTGAAGCTATCGCTATGCTATGGTCAAATACGAAAAAAAAATTTTTGCCTTGGAAGCAGTTTCGTATTGTTTTGTAGTCCCTACACAACTGCCGAAAAAACATATAATCCTCAGAGATTTGGTCTAAACCAAATTTTTTGGTGTATCTTATGTCCTGATGACTCACGGTCAACTTTGATTGTATTGAATTTTTTAAGAGATCAATAATCATACAAGTCTGAGTCTACGATTATTTCATCATTTAAACCTGGAGGGCCCTTCGTTATGGAGATCACAACAAGTATGCGAGAATAGAGAAGAATAAGATTTCGCAATCTTTAAGACAAAAATGTGCTTAGATCTTTTATCGCAACTGACTTTTGGATAAGAAGGCTTGAAGGAAATTGTGAAGAAAATTGGTACCTCTTTGTATACGACTCGATTGAAGAAAATCGGTACAAAGACTTTGCATACGCTCGCTTGAAAAAATTTCAATTTCAGTTTTCAGAGGTTTTTCAAAAAATTTTACGTTCATCTACATTCGAATTTTTCAAATGCAACCATTTCCTGCTGCAGTAGTCTAGACTGTATTAACAACAGACACACGTCTGTTCTCGTTTGTCCCTCTACTTCTAAAAAATGTGTTTTCCACTTCCCTCCACAGTAATCCCAATGTCACGCCCATGTCGTCAAATTTGCATGAAAATACATTGTTTTTAGAGTTTAGTATGCTCTTAGCACTTCTTATTGCTACCTTGTTAACAGCTTCTGTTTATGGTCGTTATTGTGTCGACAATGAAAAGGTAAGTAGTATAGCACATCATGAGGAAGATCTTGGACAATAATAAGGGAACTGAATGTGGTATTCAGGCAAAACTGGATGTCTGGGATTTTATGTGGAAGTAATTGAGAAGCTTTAACAAAGGCTTTTGCCCAAGCAGCAGCTCAGATAATTCATTTGCGGCTGAGAAGTCCAACCAAAAACTCTCGCCCAGTACCGTACTCTTTGACAAGCTGCGTCCTCGACTACGGTAGTGGGCAAGTGTTCAGAGCTGAATTTGCCAGTCATAAATAATCATATCACTTGCCGTTTGAGCAATCAATTAGAGCCTTAACTCATCTACCTACATATAAAGCTGTAGCCAGATTTGCCTGGTTATCTTCCCCCCACTCCCCTCCCCCACTCCCCTCCCCCCTTCCCCTCTTCCTTTTCATATGATGTTTTTACTCTGATTTTAGCACTGGTGTCGTGGACACGAAATTTGGGGCTGGTGCTTTCATAACAAGACCAGTGGACGATTTGACTGCGATAGTGGAGGATTTTGTGCTTCACAAGAACAACTGAAGAATAAGAAAAGCGCTGGATGTTTTTTGAGAGAAAACAATACCGTATGCTGTTGTAATGATGCGGTGAGTTTTCAAGGAGAGTAGCCGAATTATCGCGCGCAGAAACATGGCGCTAATGCGGACACTGTGGCGTCTCGCAGATCGAAAGCACCCTCATTGCTCTAAGTGTCTGCTGTCTCTCACAAACACAAACTATCTTAATCAGACGCAACTGCATTCATTTTCTGCGATGAATGGCCTATAACTAAAGGCTGCTGCAGGACGAAGGTGCAGAAGCAGTATTAGTTGAGCGGGCGCGGAATCGGCTTGCGCGTATTCTCACTGTTGTAAACCCTGCTTCTCATGCGCTCTGCGGCCAATAAAGCCGCGTTCGCGCCTAGAGATATTGCGCCTTCGTCATGCGGTAGCCTATATGTCGCTAACACAGTCGAACTAACTCGTTATGTAAATTTGCACGCTTCGCATGTTACCTCACTTCTTTATTTATAGTAGTATGAGATTGTTTCAAAAGTCTTGTACCCGAAATTTTTTGTTAATGTGTTAGTTGTTCCAGCTACAATAAATTCTATCGATTTAGTAAATCCTAAAAGAAGGAAAAAGACTTTTTTCACTTTTTTCCATCACAATCCCCCTTCTGTGTCTCAGCTTCCCCTTGACCATGAAAAAGTAAATTTCAGGATGGATGTAACCTCGGATTCATATCGCTTCCTCCTAAATACGCTTCAGGACAGGTGTGTTAGAAATTTTCCTCGGTCCGCCCAAACTAAGAGCATTTCAGCAATGTGCCAACACAATAGAGGAACCAAATGAGGATCTCAAAATCTTCAAAGCATGTGAAGATCCGTGGTGTTATGCCTACTTGACCGCGGTAGGTTACCTTGCGAGATTTGTGTCAGTTGTCCGATCCTCTAATTCGAATACTCAAGGCCAGTGAAGGTGAGCATATGGGATTGACTTCGGCTGCTCGTGGCTGCAGATCCAGAAAGACTTTAATGCATCATATAGCAAAAGATCAGTATACGGTAAGTGTGCCTGCGACAAACTACCACAAGGGATGTCAGAGTCAAAGAAGCAGAGTCCACTTTTCTCCAGAAGTATAAAAATAACACAAGTTGGATGGATACCGATCGCCTTGTTACTCTTCCTACATGTGATGACATCACCTATGATGCTGAATGGAATAATGGAACTCAAGCAATGTGTCTTGACTTTATGTACGAAGTAAGTCGGTAAAAGTCTAGCGCGCAGACGGTAGAATATTCCCTGCGTCTCTACCCCATGTCTAATTTGACATGTCAAATGGACAGCTGACACGTCATGTTATGACAACTCTAGAGATGCTTAACATGCAACGACAAGTTAATGCGAGAACCAATGCATGTATAGTTCAGAAGTCAAGATACGTCTATTTCTTGCTTCATAATTTTCTCGAACTCTCGCAGCCTAGCGTGATGTTACTTTGTCAAGAAAATTGTCATTTACCTATAGTCCATAAATTTGATGCTTAGTCCAGCGTTCCTGCGCTGCCGACAACATTTGCGCGTAAAAAGTGATGCGGCGCTTTGGCAGGCTCATACGCGCACATGCAGGAGGTGGCGCTCAAGGTGACAAGATATGGCGTTCAACGCGCAAATGCTGTCGTCACCGGAGTAGCACTGCGTTGTTCGCCAAGCTACTATACGGTAAAACAAGAATGTCTGCAATGCATTTTCTGTAAGTAAAAACCGCCAAAATTCTCTCCCTCCCCCCCCCCCCCCTGAGATGAATCAAACATATCGAAAGTATCAAGTGCCTAGCTGATCCGGTTTATACTTTCCGTTCTCTCTATTCCGAGTAGAAGACTATATTTCGTCGAAAGGGTGCTCCTACGCGGACATCTGCAACAGACCAAGCGGACATACGGGTAACAAACATTACAGCTTTCTACCAGCTGTCCGCTAGGAGTGGAGCTTATCGAAGACGAGTTCTCTACCCCTCTATTCCCACTCCCCCACCCCTCCCCCTTCCCCGTCTCCATCCAAATACAGAAGGGAAGAATTTTGAAGATTTTCCAGGCTGTCCTAAATAATTCTGAAATGTCGGTTGACTTTACTGTCCTTTCCCTTCCTTTTTCTAAAGAAAATTTCGCGACTGTTATGAAAAAAAATTATTTTTCTTTCCCAGCTGTAGACGGTCAAGTAAAACTGATGAATCAGTTATGACCCATCACTGGGCAAGGCGCGCTGACACGCTGGTGCGTCTCCGCCCACTCCAAAAATGGGAGTACGTTAAGTACGTTAGCTCCGCCCCGTGCCTCAAAGTTGGCATTTTTGCAAGGTGATTATTGATTTTCATGATTTATTATTCAGATGAAATTTTAGGAGGAAGGAGTTAAGAGGAAAGGTCGTCTCTGCTGCTGCCGTGGAGAACACAAATGTAATGAGCGTTTCATGTGGGGTGATGAGAGCATTACCGAGGCAAGCAGTTATTCCCCTTATTTCTCCTACATTTTCTTTCAGGATGAGACTTTGTATTCATTTTAACATTCCAGAAAGAACTGGCAGAAATTTTGCGTAAACGCGACTCGCCTCAAGACGCAGCTGGCACTGGCAGTAGTATATCGCCATTTGTTATTATATTGCTAGGCTCTTTATTTTATGACGTCGTAGTTAAGCTTGTGTAGATAATCCTATCGCTTTATTGTTTTTTCTTTTTTCTTGTATAAAGTATGCTACTCAGTCTATGTCAAGCCAGCTAGGCTCCTAGGTTCTCTGCTACGTTCCCAGTGAGTTCACATTGTAACAAAAGTGAAAAGGAGTTGGTTTGAACGCAGCAATTGTTCCACGAACTCAAATAAGACGTTTGGATATAGGCAAGTCAGCGCACGCAGAGATAGGGCGTCATTGCGCATGCTGCTCTCTCTGATCATGATCATCTGATCTTCCATCTCATCTATCCTCTGCTGTCTCCTCTGAACATGAATTCTCTCAGTCAAACGCAGTCTCTGCGGTGACTCGTGAATAAGCAGTGGTTAAGGTTTAACCTTGAAAGATATCATAATATGCGTAAGAATGGGCGAAGCTTCAACTCGTTTATGTCACATAATAAATATGGACGTAGACCACCTACGAGTAAGCACGCGACGCATCCAGCAGCTGCGCTAGCAACTCACAATTATGTACGAGACGCATTCTGCCAGCCAGAGAAAGAGAACGTAGAGACGCAGACATGGTCCTGCCACGATATGGCCGTACTGCCACTGCGATGGCGACGAACTAGTGCGGAAAAAACAGGACCTTATTCTGAATGGAGCAGACCGTAATAATCAAGCATGTATTTGCTGACAACCTGTTAAATTAAGTTCATACATTATTCGCAGTAAGCGCATGCGCCACGTAATGCTGTTGCGTGCGGTTGCGTTGCGTACGTCGCTCAGAAAAACTAATGTAGTGCAGCAGTGAGGACTAAGTGTTGTAATTACACTTCCTTACGTTCTAGCTTTCACCTAGTCGCAGTTTTCGACGGGTTTATGACTAAGTGGGAGTAGTAATTGCAAGCACGAAGGTAAAACGCAATCCTATTGATGATTCATAGTTTACTACGGCCAAAAATGGGTCATGAAAGGGCGCCGAGATCTTGAAAGCTACTCCAATAGCAAGTGCTTTCTTTACATAATAAAAAACTTTCGTACATCAATCCAATTCCTTCAAACATCAAAGTCGCAATCCTTCACATGCGTAATCTCCTTTCATCGCTCATAAAAACATAGTAGCATCGCGCCTCTTGCATACGAGCAGGTTTTCGATAGCAAGAGGAGATCGATGCCGATGGTAAGTGGATGTCGATCCAGCTTATTCCCATACGTGAACCATAAAATCCTGTGCAATCCCACCTCAACGACCTCAGATCCACACTTTCGACTTCGAGAACTCAGAATCACAACACAACGGCTTTTCGTACAGTTTGTCCTCGTGCTACTATTTTCATGATCAAAGCTGAAATAATTTTTGAATCGATATTTTTGGCAAGAAGCTTTCTCAAGAATTTTTTTCTCCCAAGCAACCAACGAACAATGCTTTCTCTTCAGGTAAAACCTTGTCATAAAGACAATTGCTTTCAAATTCACATCGAGAAACAAAATTCTGTCGGCAGGTTGTTGCGTAAACGTAAAACTCACACTATTCTTTTCAAAACTTACTACCTAAGGCTATTCGAAATGCATTATAAGAGAAAGTAATTCGGATCCTTGACTCGTCCCATTCCCTCCAAATTATGCTATGACATTTTCGAGATATTTTCGGAACTCTACGATAAAAAAATAGTCTAGAGATTAATTTGCATCAGATTTTAATTTTTTAGATGTCTTTCAGAGAATATTTTTGTCTTTATTAAAACAAAGCGATCTTCTCAAAAAACGTTTAAACGTATTCCATATGCTCTCTTATAGAGTGTGTCATCATAAATAAACCCCTGTACGGCACAAGAAAGTCTATTGCATCTCTCGAAAAACGATTAAAATTTTTTACGAACTTTTTGAGGCTTAAGTAGTAACCCTGTTTGATGGCGCAGTTCCTTTGTAATTGTCGCATTTATCTTCGCTGTTTTTTTAGCTTTATTAAGACTTTAATTTTTCAAGCTGACTATTGTTACATGATCCCCAGATTTCAAACCTGTGTATGTGGGTTGCAAACTGTTATTTTTTCAAAACATTTTCACCTTATTTCTTGAACATTATGTCTAGATGATAGCATAAATCTGTGAAGACTTCTTGAGAGTGAGTAAGGGTTCTCGACCTTGTTTGATGATAGTTATGACACTTCAATATGGGTCGTAGTTTAAGGATATTTTTGCTTTTAATTTCGGTCTATCTTTAGAAATCTACAGTGAGAATTTTCCATCTCAAAAGTGACAGATACTAGTTATCCGTCATAGTTCAATGAAATAAGATATTATTCAGAAAGTGTTGATCAGGTGACATATGTGGGTCATTTCAAAATTATCACATCTAGCCCAGAATTGAAACATGCTTTATTCTCTTGAGCTGCCGAAGATCCAATCAAAACAAAAACTAATACTTTGTTCTTAAAAAAGTCCATGTATGCAAAATCACATAATGAGTTATGTCATGCTTCAAATATCTACCCTAAAATACGAATTTGAACAAAATTAGGATCACCTTACTAATTCTTTCCAAACAATAACGTTTTGACATTACATAAAGTGCAGAGAAAAATTCACATCCAACGTTTCGTAGAATTTCAGCGACAAAAAAACAGGAAAATATTATGGTTTTGCAAATTTGCCATGCAAAAAATGCCTCAAGTAACTGTAATTTTTATACTTAATTTCATTTCTATTTATCGCTGGAATTTACTCTTATAAAATTTTACTCAGAAAAATACCAATTTCTGATGGGATCTGATATAGCCTTCGAACGTGTACGCCCTTCATAGAGAGTCATTATGCTGTACCAGCCGTAGATACGGCGCAGTCAATCACACCGTCGATCGGCTACGGATGTTCTACGAAATCTTGAAAAGAAATTGTTGAGGGCCTTCAACAAGACCCCATACGAATTTTTGAAAACCCTTGCGAATGTAAGGGTTGAAATATATTCAGGTTTATATGGGGGTTGTGGTTTTGTTGTGATACTATTCTGGTGATTGTAAATGACTGTATGTTCGTACTTCTCACTGCTTTAATCGCAAACTTCCGTTCACAATTTCAGTACTTCTTTACACAAGATGCCACCACAAATGCTAAGCGCTTGGATTCTTGTGGCAGTTGTCCCATTTGCTCTAGCTGACTTTACGCCACATTTCCGCAAATTTCTACATGATAGCTATGGAGTGAATATGGCCGGAATGTTGGAACGAACAGATCTTGGCCTAGATGCATCACTGGGTGGAATGGTATGTTTATAAACCGCACTCTCAAATTACTTTACATTACGGTAAACGGCTCGCTGTGGGACCTAGTGAACCTTTGGAACAATATCGGGTAGCCGAACGAGATGGTCGCTCGAACTCTGCTTCTCTGTATCGCTAACAGTTGTTCTTGCTAAAACCTCTCTTTGAGTATGCAGCTTGGAGCAACCAACTCGTACTCCTATCCGGCTGCATCGGTCTTGCAGGGAACAGCTAACCCACTGTAATTACAGCATTTGCTGGCGCAAAACGGCCTTTTTCACGAAAGTCACTTATGCGCACTTTTTATCGGGGTCATTCAACAATAATAGCCTAAGGGGACATTTTGAAACAAGCACATTTGTTTAGAAAAGCAAAAATTTTCAAAGTTTTCGAATGTTAACTTCAAACTGTAAAATTGTTCACTGGACCTGATTTTACTTGTAATTGATAATTTTATGAATTTTTTAAAAATTCGAATTAGCTTTGTAAAAAAATTCTTGGGCGTGGAAGCTGAACCCTCTTTTTGAAAATCGGGGCAGTAGGTGCACAAAAAAAATCTGGAACCCCAAAAATTCTTCAGAAGAAGTTGGCCACGCTCCCTTATTCTAACAAAATTGTCGTCACCCCCCCCCCCCCCCCCCGGGCCAGCAAACGTTTCTCGAACCGCCATTGAGGATTACAGGTTTTTGAACCAGTGGTCACGCTCCTTGTGCGAGTATTAGAAGAAAAATTGAAATTTTACTTGAGCATAAAATAACAAACTGATATTTGATCTGAATTTTATAGAGGTGGTTTGACTAATTCTTAATGGTGTGAACTTCACGCCCCGCCCATCTTCAAATCAATTGCTTTCAGCAAGGCCCCAACGACCAACCCACAAAGCAAGCCATCATTCTTGTACATGGAATCACCAACAAAATCACGCGATTCATGGCAAGTAAATCAATAAATCAATATATACCTTACTGTTGATATTCTAGCCTATGGTGCATTTCCTCTACTCGAAAGGTTACAAAAGTTCTGAAGTATACGGAACCACATGGGGTGATGCTGGTACAACACCCATAGGATTGGTAGATATGAAGTGTTCCTATGTGAAGCAAATCAGGTTGGTCAGGAAAGTTTAGTCATTAAAGGCCTTTGGCAACTTGCCATTATCTTCTTGAGGTCACTGATCATAGCTGTGAGGCAATATACCGGCACACAGGTGGACGTAATTGCGTACTCCATGGGATCCCCAATAGCAAGAAAAGCTATATTGGGAGGACAATGTGTCGATACAAGGGAGATTCTGGGTAGGTTGTACTACTTTGATTTTTCAATATTGATTTTTTATGTATATCTGAGGATTTTAGTTCGTCTCTAAGAAAGGTATTAGGGTATTTATTAGGCACTTTCATCAATTTTTAAGGAAGTAAGGGGGGGGGGATCACGTGCAAAAAGGAATTCATAGGCTCCTCCCACAACACTTTCATAAGGCGTTAGGACCAAGTCGGGCAAGTGTTCATAACGCTGGCGTAGGGGACTATATGTCGCCGATTAGCTCTACAAGCGTGGACAGCTGATACAAATCTCGATGTGTGTACCGTAAGGAGCTGCGTGATCTGTTGCAGTTGTCCGCGTGGGAACACTCCTTTCGGCGACGTGGATTTCCCTCTCCAAACGCTGGAAATAAAGTATTTGGTTAATAGCAACACGGCCACAATACGCGCAAAACGTAAGCAAGTAACTTGAGGCCCCGTTCGTCCTGCGTTAAGTCTTTATATCGCGTCAGGACCTGCTTGCCTGTCAATAGTGCCGCTGATGAAGGGAGGCGGAGTTTGTTCCGGCGCGAAATTTGAAATTGCCGCCTTTCGCGCTACTCCAAAAAGGCATGAGCATAGTGCAGAAAAGCTGGGCAAAAGTAATTTGGTCAAAAAGAGACAGAGGAGTAAGGGGGGGGGGGGACAATCCGTGTAGTCCTTTCCCATAAAAAGCAGTTCAACACCTATTTTTCGCTTCAGGTCCCCCTCTAACCGAGCTCATCGACACTTTTCTTTCCGTTGCTGGTGCTAATTATGGTAGCGCACTTTGTGTAGTTCCGATACCAGTGGGGACTTGTAACAGGTGATAAAGTCGTTTAATCTATCCATATTTGCTTTAGAAAATTAGAATTTTTTCAGACGAACCGGCCTTCATTGTGAGTCTGCATTTTTGCAAGATATCAATAATCAAGCTAAATATGAAGGATCTTTCGTGTACAGTATCTTCTCGACAGCTGACGAAAAGGTGAAGTACTGTTGATTTATTTACTGAGTGGTAATATCACATTTTTGATTATTTTTTTTACAAATTACTGGATTCCAAAAGGATTTATTTGATTAAGAACTTAAGATCTTGGTTCTCGCTAAGATTTTGCATGCATCTTTTAAACAATGACGAATACCATATTCAATCCGCAATATGCAATTTTTCTGAGGTTACGGTAGGTGCACGGTGGGCGTGACAGAGCCTTTGCACAAATCTGCCAGCTGATCATGTTAGCGAATTCCACGATTTTGAAATTTCGGACCAACTGCTGTAGAGCAGGGTTGAGAAAAAATCTTCCTTCATCAGACGAAATAAATCTCGTGCATAATAGGAATCGTTCCAGGTTGGATTCCGAACCTGTGGAAAGCCAGTGGCACCAATTCGCGGTGGGACCGGATATGTAAAGAAAGACGGGCTTAGCCATGACCAATTGATGGACAGCACACATTTTCTACAGATGAATTTCGTATCTAAACATGCTCCCAAGTAAACTAGAGTATGCTGTAGTAGTTTGTAAGAACTTTATAGACGGGTTATCCATTGTGAGCTATTTTTGATATTGAGTAGATATTAAAATAAATTGCTTGTACATGTACCGATTCACTTTACTATGCATTTTCGCTTTTTTGAACGTCTGAGAGATTTCACTACATTTTTATCTACTTAGTAGTCTCCCGGCAATGTCTGGTCTGCTTCCAGGAACCTTAGCCAGATTTCTTTTCGTCAGCTTTAAGCTGGACGTGAACTGCAGTTGATTGCTATTTACGAAGTTCAATCCTTTCTTTTAAAAATACATGTCATGTCTTTGAGTTCATATCTTAACTTCTGTAGTACGCCTTTCATAATACAAATAATAGGTGAATAAATAAACTGTTTTCACATAGTAGACCTGTCCCGCTACTCGTACACAGGTACATGTTGACATCGTCCACGCAGGTTCTCGTCTTCCGTGTTTTGATCGTTCCTAGGCCTTCTCATGTCCCTAATACCGAATATGAAGTCGAAAATCCGCGGAAACCCCACCAATCCCCCTTCCGGAGAACCCGCAGTCCACTCTCCGGAACAGTGGTTGGATGGATGGGCGCGCACGAATGGACGGGCATCACCGAAGGGGGGGGGTACCATTTTGAGGTTCTCATGCATGTTCCCTATTTCGATGCAATTTTCTCGCTTCCGAAGGGAAATTTTGCGCCGCGGGTTGGGCATTGGCCTGATAGGAGGTCCTACTATCATAAGTTGCCAAAAGTTCAAACCCCCGACTTAGAGTGGACGGTGCCTTTAAAGGCAGCGTCGAGGCAGCTCTGGACCTATGGGGCTTTTACGTGAAAAGTACTTTTGAGGCCCTAACTAAGGCACTGCCCAAGTGACAGCTCAGGTAGTGCTCTAATGGCTGAGATATACCCCTCGAAACTGGCCCCCGCGAACGTATTCCCATGGATTCATGGCAGTTTCGCGCCAGGATCCATGCTTTGCGCCATGAATCCATTCGAAACACGGTCGGGGGGGGGGCAGCTTCGAGGGGGAATATCTCAGCCATTAGAGCACTACCTGAGCTGCCACTTGGGCAGTGCCTTATTTAGGGCCCCAAAAGTACTTTCCACGTAGAAGCCCCATAGGTCCAGATCTGCCTGGACGCTGCCTTTAACATAAGTGCACCACTCCCGATGCTCCTCACTAGGGAAAGTAGTGTGAATAATAAACTGATGGCAGTGGCGGTCCCAGGATTTCCGTCCGGGGTGGGGGCGGAAAAAAATTTTTTCGAGTGAAGGTGCGTGGCTTTAGCCACGCACTCCGAAAAATTTTTGGGGGTGTTTCTTAAAACTTTTTCGGGCCTTAAAAAAATTGTTTACAGCTAATTTTTTAAAAATTTTTAAAAATTATTTTAATTATTTAGAGATAAACAAGTCATTTGCACATTTTTATAACCGATGTAGGTAAATTTCAAAAATTTCGCGACCCATTGTCGGGCGGGGGGGGGGGGTCAGTAATCCATCAGTCAGTGGCGGAGCGAGAGGAGGGGGAGGGGGGAGGGGGAGTCCGCACTGACTGATGGATTACCATTGAGCGTCCCAGGATTTATACCTCAAAGTATTAGACCCGGCCCATACTTCATCAGTTTCAGTCGCGACGCGATTTGGCGATACTCCAGTACGCCATGCTCCATAGCTCATAGTAAGCGATTCAATGTACAGAAGCTATCATGACTTATAATAAGCGGCTTAATCTGAAGTTGTGTGGAGTTTGTCCGTTACGAAATTACAGTGAGGAATGATTTACGATACTAAATATCATGTGAGGTTAAGATAGCGAGTATGGTTCATTTTTAACTACGGCTCACGTTGCAATAAACCGAACAATGATTTGAGAGGCAAGCTCTCAGAAAGTAAGTTTACCACGGTTCACGATGCCAGTGCGAACCTCTGCGAAGCAGAGGTGAAGCACTGGTGGTATTTTAACAACCTAGAAAACTATGCACGCTATGCATTTGTAATCCGCTAATGTTGGATTCGAAGAAATCTGGCGCATTGCCAGTTGCGTGGCGACTGAAATCGCGTGAAGTATGTCTGTCAAGTCCAGGAGGTGCACTCTCCTGACCTGAATCCTTCACCCTTATTGTTTTACTTTATATGAACACGACATTATGACTAGAATGTTTATTATATCTTTATAAGCGTAAAGAAAGGGGAAGGGAAGCCGCCGGTCACCCGATTAGGCACAGCTCATCTGGAGTTGCTGGGCACCGCCCAGTTGGCGTGGGGACTGTCGGACCATCTAATTAGTCTGCGTCTCGACATGTCCATTCCATAGTAAAGCTCGTCTCGAGCTTTCATCTTTGACCGTGGCTTGGGAGTAGGAAACCATTGCCGTCATCGAACTGCCCATTACCATTTGTTTCATCATTGCTTCGTTTGAGGGCAAGAGGGTGTTGTTGATACCATTATCGTCATCAAAACCGCCCATGTACCATTTGCTTCATCACTGCTTCGTTTGAGTGCAGGAGGTTGCTGCTGCTACCATTATCGTCATCGAGGTTGCCCATTTACCATTTGTTGTCACTGACTGCGGGCAGGAAAGGTGTCGTTGATCGCATCATTGCTCAGTCGCTTGATTGCTCTTCGAATGCATGTGGACAGGGGGAAAAGGGCTCGTAGGAAAAAGCGGCTTTCGCATGCCCTGTCAAAAGAAGAGCTCGTCTCGAGCTGAAGATGAAGCGGAGCAAAATAAGCTTGCAAATTAGATAATTATCAAAGGATAAGGCTTTCGCAACTGTTCCGAAAGGTGGATCAAAGCGATAATGATGATATCAATACAGCGTAGATGGGTGGGCTCTCTCCGAGTTGAGGGAATGAGCATTGCAATGATGGTAAGGACAATGATATGGTAGGACGGTATAGCTTAAAAGACGAATTGGGTTGATATGTGGTGACGGGGTTGGCGTAAATATTGAAGAAATAAATATATATGAAAAAAAATGCAGACAACATTGAATGAAAATCAAAGTCGCTAATGTGACAGAATGTTCAAAATTTTGAGGTTTTGAAGATTCGCCGTTACAGCATTCACAGAGAAAATCAAGTACAAAAACATGAAGTTTTCGGAATCTATCATGCGGGCAACTCAAGAGGAAACACTTCCCTAACGTTGCGCACAAGGGCGTGAGGTAAAATTTTGAATGACTGAAAGGCTTCTCCGAGTCGCCTATCGGAGAAGTCTTTCTTGTTATAGTGCAAACGCTTGCGGCAAACTTACTCTGCCAGTAGCCGCTGCGTATGTGGAATTAATGTGAGTTTGCTACTGGCACTCAAAATATCCAGTCTTTTCAGACGCTCTGAACATCTGATGATAGCAAAAACAATTGCAATACAGAGGTGAAAACAGTTGCAATGGGGCACAGACATAGTTTCTGTCTTTCTTAGATGCTCTGAACATCTGGGTGTGGACTGAAACTCGATCAGGGTGTGAATAACAATAGTATAATAGCGGTGAATACACTCGAAATGGGAACACTGACGACATGTAGGCGAAAATAAACAAGATTTCAATGGAGCAGTTATTTGGAGATATCAAGTAGGAATCAATCTCTCTTCGGGTGGTTGTCTACTTCTTATTCTTGCTTTCGCTTATCTGAAAGTTTGTCGCGAACGTACTAGACGTTTCGCAAAGAAAAAGATAAAATTACTGGAATCGACTCAAAAAGCATTCATCATTTTGATGAGCTGATCAACCGGAAAAGTGTAAGCAAAAATTTTGCTGTTTGTTTGAGATCAGCAACCAAAAAAAGTTTTTTTTAAGCTACGATCAGTCGATTTCACTAACATATGCAAACGTGGTGCGAGTTGACTTTTTCTGAACATTTGTTCTATTCTGAAAGGAGCTTTTTTTCCTTCACTCAAAGCGATTCTTTGGAGAAGTTCTGGAAAGTTAGGCGAGCATCTTATACCTCATGAATTTTGTATTACTTATCCCCAGACTGTCTTTGAACGATCAAAGACATCTGTACCTTAGCTGGTACTATAATTTGACTTCTTGCGACATTAATTTGCTGAGTCCAACTTCTCTTACTTGGAATGAGAATCGATTACAAAGTATTTTGCGTTACTATATTGTATAGTTTTTTTTGAGCTTATTGTGATGAAGGAATTAAAATGTTTTTTTCACAAACGGTAAGGCCATGAATTTTCTCAAAAACTCGAAAGGACAAAGGTAATGTTTTGAGAAAAGTGTACTAGTGATGGTGGGAGATTTGACGATATTATAAACCACAAATTACCTTGAGGCAAACTTATAATGCGACCACTATCAACTTGGAGAGTAGACTGTCGCTAATGTACGCGATGTAAAGCCTTATTTCAAGTTAGACTGAATATACCTACTGCTGCACGGGATGTACAAATCAAATTTTAAAAAACGCGAAGCATAAGCGGAAGGCGGCTTGTTTGAATAGCGGCTAAACGAATTTGAGATGATCGAAGTACGAGCTGCCGCTCTTATCGTTAAAAAGCTATAGTTTCAGGGATATAGACTAACTGCAATACGCAGCACGAGCAAGTTATACAAAGGTGATTTTTTTGAACAAAAAGTTTCTTCTATGACTCTGCTGCGTGTATTTTTACGAGAATCTTGCTACTAACATCACTCACATTTCACACCCCCAACTACAGAATCATTCCAGCCTTTTTTTAATCAGAGCTCTGAATATCTGAATTCGGCCGAAATGCTAACGGTTTATGCCTAAAAAATGTTTACGTTTCAGAGTTGTAATGCTGCTTCCATGTCAAATAAAGGAAGATTCAGAACACAAACACAATTTTTTTTGACTTTGGGATGTGGAAACTTATGGAAAAAATGTTGAGAGCTCAACTTTTATTTTTATTAATGTACATTACTGTAGTACATCCATTTTTGGAAACCGTGCCGGGGACTAAAATATAGTTGAATTGAGATTTTCTTTTTTTTAAAGAGTGGATAACGAGTTCTATTCCATTCCAG